ACTAGCCTGGAACGGACACTTTTGGGTCTTCCAGTGCATCGATACCTGGAGGCTTGTAAATACTAGAGATAATCCAGGAAAGAATCTTCAGGTGAAGTCCTTGGGAGAGAAGGTTTCCCTGCACAGACCACCTGACAGCCATTACCCAGACAGGCCACTGGACATCTGGAAGGTAACCACCTCAGACCAAACCAGAGGCGACGAACACAGGACTGATTCGTCTCAAAAATGTGCTGTTCACGATAAGAACTCTGCACGTTTTCTTCGGGACACCTGGCGGTGTTTACCGATTTGCAAATCCTAAGGCCCTTGGATAAAATTTTGCCATTTCTAATTTTAGCTAAAGCCTCCTAACTCTTCTATGCTCACTTGACACTGCTCATGGGGTCTCCTCAATAATGGCTGTTCGTTTTGGGGTTGAGTTTTTATAGTAAAAAGGAGGCAGCTGAATTGGGAGGGATTTAAAGAGGACAGAAAAGGTGAAAGACATCAACTATTCCAGTCTGCAGAGAGTTTTCATTTAAAATATATTTTTATTGATATTTAGAGGGAGAGATGAAGGGAGAGGGAGATAAACATAATAAACTGACTGCCTCCTGCACACTTCCTACTGGGGATCTAGCCCGAAACCTGGGTGTGTGCCCTGACCAGGAATTGAATCAGTAACCTTTTGGTGCACAGGTTAGGGTGGGAGCTTTCATTTTTAAATGATATTTGAGATGCTGCATTTTACAGCTTATTCCTATATTGTAATTGCGTTTCCTAAGAAATGGTGAGCCATATTTCTTTTTAATTTATTATTATTCATTCCTAGTACACCGCTGTGGGATCCAAGGGAATATTTACTAAAGAAGGAGGGACCTGGAACCATTAAGAGATTCATTAGGAAAAAAAAAGAAAACAAACACAAAAAAAACCCTCAAAGTATTAAATGGGCCCATATTCAATTTAAAAAAATCAACACATTCCAAAGACAAACATGATAATCCACCACTCTTCATTATCCAGTCAGTCCTCCACTTGTGAAAATAACGAAGTGTGGTCTGTGCTCAGGAATACCAGACACCAGGAAGTGAACTAAGAGAGTAAGAATGTGGTGGCAAAGAAAAGAGTCAAAAACTAAAAACAGATCAAATACATCAGGAAATGGAAAAAACAAATAATTTTCCCTAATTTTTTTTGTAGTTCCTAAAGCAGAAATTAAATCATTTTTATTGCTAGATCAAACCGAGAAAGGAATGTAAGTAGATGGGTTGCCAATTTAAGAAAATACTCTAATATTTATTTTTTGTTTATGTGTCACCCCAACGACGACGATGATTGTGAATCCAGAGCTCCATAGACCAAGAAGGAAAGTGTCAGCTGCCCTCAGAAAGTGGCTGTCCTCTAGCTCAGCCTTGCTCATTTTAGCAGCAAGCAGTTTCTCTACGCTCTACCCGCCTGGTGATATTACGTCTCAAGAAGTAAGAGGAAACCTAAGCCTACTTATAAATACCAATACTTCCAAATCTTTACTAAGGTTCCACTGTCCTCTGTGAATAAGAATGGAAACTAACCTGTGTCATTAAATAGCTAAAACTATTAATATTCTTATTTTATAATTTCAGGAAATACTTTGTCTCAAATTTTTGCTTATAATTCGTCCAAGTCTAAAAAGTCAAGGATTTGGCCAGCGTGGCCAGCACGTCTGGCGGATCTGGGACCGAGGATTCTGCTGGCTCAGTCCACCTGTGTGGTGGGGCCAGGGTCGGGATTGCACTGATGCCGCTGGGGTGTCGGGCAGGGTAGGGGGTGAGGAGGTGGCCCAGGTGGTGGGGAAATCAGTTACATACAAGGAGACTGAGAGCATGAGTGGATGTGCAGAGGATGACGGGAGGCAGGCTTCTCACTACTGCAGAAGGAAATGGCAGCTACGGGAGGGAGAAGGCTAAAAGCAACCCCATGGTGCTGGAATGAAATGAGGGATGTCAGTGTGAACTTGTGGTATTTAATATAAATAGACAAAGAAAGAGAAACACCCACACGTGTGTCTGTGTGTGTGCGCGTGTGCGTATTTCCCCCATCCCCCCAGCTCTGTTTGCTGACAAAGTCTAAAAGCAGTAACACACCAGGAGCAACAACCACACCTACTACCCAGGTCTTGCTTTCCACATCCCACACCAAGGCTTTTTGGAGAAATGGCTGATTTCTTCACCGGGACAGGGAAGGCGCAAGATAAGCCTGGAATTGTAGTGAGCCAGAAAGTAAGGAAGTTCTCAAAGAATGACAGGGACATGGCAGAAGGATACCACAGCTAGACCCAAGGGGCTTCCACTCTCCAAACCTGGGGCAAGTAGGTCTGCTTATTTGGGAAAACTAGGAGAATGAACATCAGTGTTAACGAGTATTTATCTCTGTCCTTCGTGGGTGCGTGGACCACAGCTTTTACCTTCTAGCTGCCAAGAGACGCAGACCACAGATTAGACCAAAGCGTGGGGTTAAACTGGCATAAATCCACCGCCACAAATGCACAAACAGCTCAGCTCTGTGCTCTGTTGACAATATGGTGGCTTTTAAAAAATATGTACTATGCAGATGCCTACACATCAGCAAATATCTATACACATGGCTAATAAGGCCCTTCTCTGGATACAGTGAGGCAATGCACTTATTTATACTCTGAGCGCGTTCTTATGTCAGGGTACTAGCAATCAGATGCAGAGACAAATGGTTTTGGTTGTTAATGCATACAAAAAATATTTTTCTAAGTTGTATCCTTAATATCTACTAGAAGAAAACATTTTTTCCCCCTGAAAAATAATTTGTAAGACATGGTATCAATTAGGTTGGCTTTAAATGCTCCCTTTCCTCAAATTCTGACTAAAAGATTAATCACTTGGGGAGGGAAAAAAAAATCTTTCTCACTGTTGACAATCTGTGGTTGAGATTTAGCTTTGATTTTTAAAAAATATTTGTATATTCAAACATAAAAGTTGTAAGAACAGCATTAAAAAAAACTCCCAAATATCCTTCACTCAGATGATTTCAAACATATTTGTTAGTCTCACATGTATATGTATGCACACAATTTTATTTATGCAGATTATAATAATCTGTTTCTGAGATCAATCAACTTATTTCAGCCACAGAACTATACATCATTTTGTTCTTCAAACAATACCTAATTCAAGTTAGGAAAGGTAACTGATGGTGCTGGGATAGCTGCAGGCTTTGTTTTGTCATGGCTTTAGATTTGGTGGGTAAATCATACCACTACACAGGAGCCCAGTAATCAAACCAAGCTCTCTATGGAAGCCAGGCCACCAGATGAGTGAAGCAGAAAGGAGATAAGTCATTGTGACATGGGGACGGACAAGCACGTGCCCTACATAAAGGGAGCACCTTGTTTACAATACCTAATAGATAATTCTTATTTTGAAATGTGGGCCAAGCTGTGCCAGAACTGATTTTTCAAAAGAAGCTAGAAATTGTGGATTTTTAATTTATTGACTGATTTTAGAGAGAGTGAGGAAGGGAAGGAGGGAGGTTGAGAGGGCGAAGGGGGAGGACAGAGAACCGAGAGAGAAAGAGACACGGATTTGTTGTTCTACTTATTTATGCTTTCATTGGTTGATTCTTGCATGTGCCCTGACCTGGGATCAAATGCTCTCACTAAGTGAGCTACTCAGCCAGGACCTACAAACACTGGATTTTTAAGTGTTATTATCTTATTTTAAAAATGGGACTAATGTTTAAAAATAATAAAACTAGTTCAGGAAAAAAAAAAGGTTCATCTGTAACACACTGAAAACTACCAGTGGCCAGGTGGAATGTTAATTCTCATTAAATATCTGGTGATGACTAACAGCAAGTTCTAATACCATAAATAGGTAACAGACACTGTGTAAAACAATGACCCGACCCCAGGATCCTGGAGTCATTCTCCTGCAGAGGAAGTGAGGCCATCGAGACGACACAGTGCTCATGAAAAAGGAAGATGGAGCTGGCAAGGCTGATCCCTACCGCAAAGCAACATCTGTGAAACAGCTTTTTAAAGGAACCTGACCGAGGGCTCCCTCTCGTAAAGAAGCTGGTTCAAACACGGCAATTACCAAGAGACGGGTCAGGATTCAAAAGAACAGACTTTTCATTTGAAACTTTTAAAATTTAATTTTTAAAATCAGAGCATAGCATAAGCAGTGCCGGGGTGGGGAGGGGGGGGACCACTTTGTAAAGTATATGGTTGTCTAACCACTATGCTGTACACCTGAAACTAATATGAAATCATATTGAATGTCAACTGTAATTGGAAAAAAAAGACAAGCAAGGAAGTTCCCTTTGCAGCCAAACGCTGACCTTAAGATTTACGTCGTAAAATCAGTATTTGCGTATTACTAATTAGTACGACGAATGTTTGTTTACTTTTGGCTTATGTAGCTCAAGTCACTAATTAGATAATCAAGATACTACAATTACTCATAAAATAAGATGGATCCAATTTATATTTTTAAACATCTACCATCGCTTAATAAATCATGCAGTTGCCCCTGTGTGCTCTGCATGAGGCTCTCCTGGGCACCTCTGTCTGTCAAGCCCGAATGACCTCTCGCTCTGCTGGCCCTTGACGATGTTAACCTCTCTACAACTTGTCAATTATTCGGGTGCTGCACTGGGGATATCTCTTCTACCACCCTTTAAGCTATGGAATTCTGTATTGCTATTTAATATCTCAAGTGTTTCCACGTTTCTTTATATTCTCCAATAGTTCCTAGAACAGTGTTACTCCAAGTGGTCCACCTGCAAACTGTTGCTTGGCCGTGGTAAGTATGGAAATAGCACTTAGAAACGCTTAGGGCAATTTGACGTTACAGTGAACAGCCAAGAGCGAGACCAGTGAACTCATTTTGTTAACACTATCATGGTGAGGTGCACGCTGGTGTTAGTCATACACAGTTGGGCCATGTTATAATGCGAAATACTCAAGAACAGTTTATCAACTCTAACTCAAAAGTACATAAAAATCTCAGAAAACGTAAGCATGTATTTGTTTTTATTGCTAATGTTTACAACCATTTAAGTTTTAATAAGGTCTGTTTTCAAATTTATAGTTCAGCACTCTTAGCCACACCAGGAGAGCAAACTTTTTAGTACTTATTTTTAATCCAATTTAACTTAATGCCTAATCCTTTACAAAACAAGCTTCACAGACATTTTTTGTCCAGAAAAGACACATCTTTTCGAACGTAGCACTTACTGTGAACCAGATTATGATGATGGAAGCAGGTCCAGAGAAACCAAGACCCAAAGAGTTTGTTGTAGGTTTCACTTGGCGTTGTGATGCCCTCATAATAACTGAGTCTAGTTTTAGGGCTAAAACCTATGATGAGGTGTGTTATTGGCAGAGATGACTAATAAAACCATCAAAATGAGGCAGCATTTATACACGAAATATCAAGGAATAACCTCAAAACCAAAAGAATTCTTTGAAAGAAAAAGTACTAACTTAAAAAGTCAACATTTACAGAGAGTCGAAGCCGGTCTGGGCAGCCGGTAAGGACATCAAGGTCGGAGTTGATGCTCCAAAGAACCCTTGACCTTGGACCTGATCCTGGAAGAGCTGATCCTGTCTGAGGCTGCACGTTCTCTCTCCTGGGGCTTTAGAGACCCTTCCAGAGTCTCTAACCACAATCTCTAACCACATCCTTCTCCGGCAATATCCAACTTCAGGGATGACACTGTCCTCTGAGGGTTGGATGAGAGGTAGAAGAGCATGATTGCAAAAGTAACTTTCCACCACCACACCTAAGGGGTAAGGCTGTTTTGTTTTCTTTCCGATTAGAGTTTAAATGTATCTTTACTGTATATTTCATATAGACCCCATCTGTAAACGAGAATGCCTGGCTTTGTAAAAAGGGTGCATTAACTTGTAAAAGTGAGCCTTCGTATGTGAATGCCTAAAGAGATGAATATACTTTCTAGATACTTCTCCTAGGAGTCGGGATTGTGTCATCTGTTACTGTATTTTTTGCTGCTGTTGTTGTTACTGTATTTTTGTAGCTCACTGGGTGTTTGGCTTCCCAAAGCGATACTCGTCAGTTCACCGCTTGTTCACTATGAATGAATTGCTTATTTCTTTGCCTGCCCTTTAGCTCCAGCACATTCAGGAAAGGAGTGGTGCTGAGTAAATGGTGAATGGCATTTCCCATGTTTTAACACTGGCAACATGCAAGGCTTAACTAAATAACAGAAGGAAGTGCAAGTATAGGCAGATTTTGCTATTCTGTCTACTGTATACATATTATATATACACTAGAGGCCCGGTGCACGACATTCATGCACTGGGGGAGGAGGGGGAGTCCCTCAGCCCGGCCTGCACCCTCTTGCAGTCCGGGAACCCTCGGGGATGTCCTTAGCGCTGCTGTGGAGGCAGGAGAGGCTCCCGCCACTACCGCTGCGCTCACCAGCCATGAGCCCGGCTTCTGGATAAGCAGTGCACCCCCTGCGTTGAGCGTTTGCCCCCTGGTGGTAAGTGCACGTCATAGCAACCAGTCATTCTGCCGTTAGGTCAATTTGCATATTCGGGTTTTATTATATAGGACACACAGAGAAGAGGAATACATTAATTTTATTTAAGGAACATTATCAGCTGTACAATTCTGATTTCTCAAAATTGATTTTTTTTCCACAAAGGATTTCATGGAGTCAATTTAAACCAGGTGGAAAAAAAACACATGAAAATGAACATGCATTAATTCTACCGTCTTCATATATATTAATAGAAGGTAGAAAGTAAACTATACTGTTAAGGGTAGCCGTAGACCCACTCTCTAGAGGTCCCTCTTGTTAACAACTTCTTATGTATCTTTTCAGAAAACTTTCTGTGCCAATAGTCCATGCATGCACACTTATTTTAAAAAAATAAAATTATATATACATATATGCATACACATATAGGGTGTCCCCAAAAATGCACACACTTCGAATAATTATTAATTCCAAATGTGTCTTTCTTTTCAGATTTAACCCACTGGAATTAATAATTATTCAAAGTGTGTATACACTTTTTGGAGTTACCTTTGTATATATATACACACATACATATATCATATAATCTGATCTATACGTTGCTTTTTTTATATATATATTTTTATTGATTTTTTACAGAGAGGAAGGGAGAGGGATAGAGAGTTAGAAACATGGATCAGCTGCCTCCTGCACACCCCCTACTGGGAATGTGCCCGCAACTAAGGTACATGCCCTTGACCAGAATCAAACCTGGGACCCTTCAGTCCGCAGGCCGACGCTCTATCCACTGAGCCAAACCGGTTAGGGCTATACGTTGCTTTTTTTAATACCTTAAGTAATATGGCAAAGAGTTTGTACCCCGAACATTCCATCTATCTACTACCACACTTCAATCCCTTCTCGCAGTTAGGCAGGGCCATGTTATTAGTTATTAGGGCCACATTATTAGTTATTAGAGCCATGCTATTAGTTATTAGGGCCATGTTATAATGGGCTGTGGGACACACACACTCCTTGACCAAAACACAGAAAAGCTGGCATGCATACTGTGCTGGTATACAGGACTACTCTCCAACCAACCAAGTCACCCGCCCAGGGCAAGCCTTTAGTATGTCTTTAAATAACCTGTTCACTTACCACAATTTCCTGGGCTTGGGGGTAGAAGTATTTTAGTTTGAGAGTTTTGTTTTTTTGAAATGTAAGTTTCTATGGGCCTTTAAACAAGTAGGTCAAATACATTATTTGGCTCCGTACATTCTGAATTACTTTGAACAGGCGATGGTTACTTGACTCACACCATCCCATTGATGCCTTGGCACACACACAGTGGTTGAAGAGATGGGTTCACCAGAGATAGTGGGTTCCTTCAGAAGAAAGGGGGAAGGCTGTTGACCCTGACAGGCCATCAACGAGGAGGAGTGCTCACCTGGCCGGCGTGGCTCAGTGGTTGAGCGTCGACCTGTGAACCAGGAGGTCACAGTTCGATTCCGGTCAGGGCACATGCCCAGGTTGTGGGCTCGATCCCCACTGTGGGCCATGCAGAAGGCAGCCGATCAATGATTCTCTCTCATCACTGATATTTCTATCTCTTTCTCCCTCTCCCTTCCTCTCTGAAATCAATAAAAGTATTTAAAGAAAAAAAAAAAAAGGAACAGGAGGGCTCAAAGGAGACTGGGAAATAGCATCAGAATAAGAAACGGGCAGGGGCGGGACTTCTGAGGGGAAACGAGCATCGTTCTTAAGGTTGGACATTTCTTCCAACTGCCCTTGAACTATTTCCACTGGGATGTCTCACAGGCATTTCAGACGCAACCTGTGTAACATTTAACTCAATTAACCCCCCACCTATTAACCCTACTCATCCTGTTGTCGTCCTCACATCCAGGAAGGGCTATCTACTTAGCCAAGAAGAGGCTAGAAACCAAATGAGGCTCTTCTTCCAGGCCCCTCCACCCGGTCCCTGAGGATGCCTCGGCTGCATCTCTCCCATCCACCCCCTCTGCTTCGGCCCCGCTCCTCGGTCTGACTTGATCTTCTACAGTACCCACTACCTAGCTTTCCTGACTTCTGTGGGACTCCCAACTCTTCTTCATTGTTTATTTTTTTACTTCTAATTGTGAAATAGTTCTTTTTTCATTTTTATTTACTATTGAATTTATTGGGGTTACAGTGGTTAATGAAATTACGTAGGTTGAAGGTGTACAATTCTATAATACGTCATCTGTATATTGGAGTGTGTTTCACCACCCCAAGTCATGTCTCTTTCTAACACCCTTTATTCCTCCTCTGCCTTCTCCTGCCTCCCTCACCCCCATTTCCTTCTGGTAAAGACCATACTGTTGTCTGGCTACAAGGTTTTTTTTTTTTTCTTAATCCTTTCACCTTTTTCACCAGCCACCACCCCTTGCCCCCCGGCCCTCTGACAGCTGTGAGTCTGATTTCACTTATATGTGGAATCTAATGAACAAAAGAATTGTGAAATATTTCAAATACTGCAGCAGACACTGTATGCCCTCTACCCAAAGTCATCCCCCAACCCTCCTTCTTTGCCAGCAGACCTCTGATTCTGCTCAGGTGTTCACTCTCCCCCAGCACATACACACAGTCATTTACTCAGGAATGGACGCTGGCTAGTCTAAGCTAAGATTGGGAATTCTAGTCTCCTTGATCAGATTAAGACAGTTTCCTAGATCTGTGTGAAGATGTGGGGGAGGGGGACGGGGACGGGGGAGGATTCTTTAAGGGAGCTGCTATATGCACACGTTGCCTTAATTTTTGTCTTGAGGTGAGGGGAGCCAGCCTAAAAGGACAAGTCAAAAATGCTGAGGGGATGGGAAGGAGCTGGGTCCTTAAGGAGACACAACTGAGCAAATGGATTACGAAACCTCAGATCCACCCTACCTTTGGGCTTCTTGTTACCAGAGATAATTTTCTTTGTTGTTTAAGCCACTTTTATTTGGGTTTTCTGCTACTTGTAGCCAAAGCATTCTGCTGCCGAGAGAAGCTGATAAGCTTAGTGTTGAATACTGAGTTTGAGTTTACGGTGGACATCCAAGCAGAAACACAATCACAGAGCAGGTCAGAGGAGAGGAGTGCAGAGATGCGGGACTCGGCACCGAAGTGACCTGCAGAGTCAGCTGAAGTCACCAGGTATGACCATGACTACTTGATGGCTAACACTTACTCAGCGCCCTTCACGTGCTACGCACCATTCCAAACGTATTAAAAGAATTAGCTCCTTTATCCTCACAGCTTTAACAGTTTCCAATCCCAGTTTACACATGGCAGGAAGGAGGACTACGGAGGTTTAGTAACTTGACAAAGGTTACCCACGGTTTAAACCCTGCAGGCTGACAATAGAGTAAACACTATGTTTTGTTACCAAATGCTTACATCATAGGCAAAGTAAACAGTGGGGCCATAAATTGCAATATTCAGAGAAGTAAAGGCAAACTAAAATTCCTAAAGGGAAAAAATAAAGGAGCAGCCCTGGCTGGTGTGGCTCAGTGTGTTGGGCATCATCCCATACACCAAAAGGCTGCCAGTTCGATCCCTGGTCAGGGCACATGTCCATGTTGCGGGCTTGATCCCTGGTAGGGTATGCAGGAGGCAGCCAATCGATGTTTCGCTTTCACATTGATGCTTCCCCGCCTCTCTCTCTCTAATCTTTCCTCTCTAAATATCAATTAAAACATGTTTTTAACAACAAAAAAATAAAGGATCAGCTTCAATTGAGGAAAAGAACGAGGCATAATAGTAATAAAGTCTGACACTCACGGAGCCGGAGAGACAACTAGAGGGCTGGGCAGGGGAGAGACCCTGACCCTGAGACAGCGGGCAGATTCTGCGCTGGACAAGGGATGGGGCTGCAGAAGCGCCGGCAGAGGTGGATACCAACTTCGCCCGCTTCAGTTTTGCTTAGGAGCAGTATGCTCTAATAGTGCATTTAGCTTCCTGCTCTTAACAAGATACTAAGTCACCCACAGATAGGAAAATACTACTTATTGAGTACAGACAAAATGCCAAACGCTAGGCTAGGTTGGAACTTTATATGTATGTTATGACATCTACTCTTCATAATAACCTTAACCATCACTGCGACATTATCTTCTCATGAACAATTTCACCAGGCAAATATAACTTCTAAGCATGCACTCTTTCACACCCACCAGCAAGTCCTGTTAGTTCTTCAACCTTTAAACTATATCCAGAACTCAGTCATTTCTCCTGTAAATGGCTGTCAGCACAGACCATTTCTCAATATTTGGAAAGATATCCTGGTAATGACCTTAGTCTTCCTCTGAATATCCTCAAATATCACTTCACAGACAAAATTAAAAAGACTGGGTTCTGACACATCCAGCTACTACTCACTGTCCAGGACGTGTCTGTCATGCCAGGCGCTGTGCTAAAGCAGTGATTGCCAACCCTCTTCATTCCATGGTTAACATTAACTAATCACACCAAAAAAAAATCATTTGCTGATCTGACTGAATATATTTTTTTGCTGAAAAAAATTGGTATAATTTTCATTTATTCACACTGGATGGCTATTATTGTGTTGGCTGTTGTTTTTTAATTTTTTTATTTGACAATCTAAAGGAAAAGAGGTCATTGCCCCTGACTAAATAGGTATTGCATGTTTTAAAATTCTTGCAGCTCACCAGCTGAAAATTGCTGTGCTGGTAACCAATATATAATCACTAGTGGCCCGGTGCATGAATTCGTGCACATTGAAAGGCAATTAATTAGAAGAAATATTTTAACATCACTGCTCGCCCTTTCTCTATAATAGAAGTGTCAACCGAATTCACAATCGACAAGGACAGATCGAAACACACGCGTGCGATTGGCACCAGTGAGAGCTTTATATGTATTGCGCATGTTCGAGTCAACTTAGCCTTTTATAGATATAGAATAAAATTGTTTAATTAGGCCTGCTTTCTGATTTAGCTAAACTTTTTCCAGCCCAGAGAAGCACCCCAACTT